ACATGCCTTAAGTTAATTAAAAACTCTGCTGTTTAATTTTTTTAGAGAAAAGTGTGATTTGTAGATCATTGTGCAGAAATTTTTAATTGCATAATCAGCATTCCAGTGAAAAGCAATAAATTAAGACAGTGAATCTCGTTGCTTTCACTGCAATTATTATTCATTTAATCTAAGGGAAAAAGACAACACAGCTGTTCCCATTGGTTGAATATGTGGATGAGTTGTGGAAAATGATTAGACAGATTGCTTAGTCATGAGCAAACATTTAGATCAGACGGAAAATCTTCAGCATTTTTTATTAATTTTGAACTTTGTTGTTTAATACATTTTTATGTAAATATTTCAATTTACAGAAAGGGCAATAATGGCGACGTCAATGGAGTTTGGCATTTTTTGAGAATTCTGCGCATGTATAATCGGTAAGCCACTAAATCAGAAAGAGTGGAGCTTCCATCCTTTCCCGAGAGGGATGATAGTGGGTCGGATCATGCATACAAATGAAAGAGCTGCGTGGCAGCAGAGAAACGTAGGTTTACTTTGAAGCAATTTAGCATTCTGCTGTCTTGCGTTGAGATTCGCTAACGAATGTTCGAAACCAGTCAGCCGGAAACTAACTGGCAGCTTCACAACAGAACGAATGCGAATAGCTGGCTGGTTCGTGTATTTCTCTGAAGCACCACTATTATAGTAATGTGCTGTTGAAGTAAGGGGATTGTAGAAAGGGCAGTTAAACTCCTTCAACATTCAGAATCGTAAGGAAACAGGCATTAATTTATTTGATCCAATTAGAATAACAATTGAAAACTATTCTGCTATTCGCGAAAGCCGATAAACGCAAAATACGTTGCTCAAGGGCTGTTAATGTTGTTGATAAATGAAGCACTGAAATGCAACTTCTGAAGGCAATGAGATGTAAATATTTTTACATTCTTTTAAGCGAATATTCTTAAGTGATATTTGACACAATAACATTACTTATCACTTTCATGAAATTCCTAACTTACAGCTTAAATGTGTTCACACTTTTTTTTAAATCAGAGATTATTATTTCCAAAGGGTGAGATCGTTTTTAAAGAAAAGAAAAATAATGACAACAAAATTAATTTCACTTTTCCCAAAGATCACGAATATTCTTCCTTTCATGGTGGAAACAGCATTATGATTTTAAAATGGTCGATAATTTAATTTTATATAAAGTCAATATATCCCACAATATTTTTTTTTAAACTGATTTGGGGGGCTTGTACCAACTGCTCACAACTCAACACAGAAAAAATAGAAAAATAAGTAGACAGATTAATATTGGAGTTAGATAAGCTTATAATTGTAAATATGTATATATGGAATTATATAGAAGCAATATGTGCATAGCTCACGTATCCTTAAATCAGAAATATGCAGACATACTTTAATCAAATATTTTGTTCACATTATATAATAATTTAAAATAATTGCATTACATATTTTAACTATTAAATAATTTTTGCGAATCACGAAGATTTAGAAACATGCGTCATTATGTCATTTTCAAACGTCTTTTATAACATTTATCTATGATGAAAACAGGAAACCAATATAAATTTATGAAATGGAGAAAATTTATAAAAATAAAATTAATAATTTATAAAGCTTGTAAATTTATAAAATGAATTTATGTAATTGCAACATAAAATGCTTCCTAAAGTATAATTCTACTTTAAAAAATATAAACGAAGAAAATATTGGGAAAAAACTCTCTCACCAATTTCCAGTTTCTTCTCGAATTTTCCATAGATTCAGGTCTTAAATTAATTTGATTTATGTCTACAAATAATAGCAGTTCTTAACTTTTGCTCATTAGGTCAAATTTATGATATATAGAAACCCCCCGCCAAAAATTTGGTTCCGTTTAGCAGCTGATAATACGTTTAATCTTCAGTTGTTTCAAATAATTCAGAATAAGGAATGGTGTAGTTCTATGGTTTGAACAAAGAAGATTATCTTAGAATGTCACCAGAAGTTTGACAACACAGTGAAAGATCGAAGAAAATTTAGGGGGTGGTTTTAAGCAGATCAATCTATGCATCTCACTAGGAAGTTCTTAACTCTTAATGAAAGGAATTGTTCGGAGCGTCTACAAGAAGCATTCCAGAAAATAACTGATCTTGACGAGTTCCTCAAGGCGAAGTAAGTTGATGAAAACTATTAAGCCGAAGCAGAATCCAAGCAAATTTATAAAGAATAAGGGTTTTGTTGTAGGAATTTGAAAACACGGCGGAGGTTATGAGAAGATCCGGATATACGATTTTTTGCAATAGTACAGATGTATAAGACAGAAAGATTTTGAGAAACGTGTGAATGATCCGGATGTATAAGAAGGTCCGGAAATAATGAGTTTTAAATAAATACCTAGCAATACATGCAGAGGATGGATACTTCTCAAGGAAGATTGTTTAGAGCAATAAGTCTGTATTCAAATTAAATAATGCATTTAAAGCATCAGATTTGCAATCTTTGGAAATTTGATAATACACAAAAGTGAGAATAACCATTGAACGCAAATGCCAAATGCAAGGATCTTTGATCTTTCCGATTTTTATTGCCTCCATTATTACCAGTGTCTGAAATGGAATGTCCAATAGCTTGAAAGCGGAAACTATAAAATAATTTGCTATTTCTATAAATTTAAACAATGAACCAAACGTACGCTAATAAATAGTGCCTTTTTAATCATTCAAAATCTGTGTACGTATTTAAGACACCCTAAAATGTGTATACATACCTGGCAGTTAAAGTAATAGTTATCAGTGTTTTGAATGGTAAAACTAAATGGTAGAACCTTAATTTACAGAGTGCTATTCTTCGGAATTTTTAGAAAATATCATGTGATATTCCTATTAATTTTAGCAATTTAATAATAGCAATTTCAGTGCGATATTTTTGTTTGTTTGTTTTTAATTTTATTACTGAAAAAAAATCAGTACTTTACATTCGTTTATAGAAAGAGTATTTATGGTATTATCATCATGTACTGTAAACATTGTAACTGCGAAACGAAAACTGAACCAAGAATATAAAATTTTAAATCATTCGTTAAGCTGATTTATGATTTCTTAATAATTAATAAAACACTTTCCAAATTGTACAAAATTTTAAATAAAACTATATGTATTACATTTGCAGAGTTATTAGGTTTTTCCTGAAGATGGAGGAGAGAAAAATGAACAAAGCCCTCGCTGGGACTCGAACCTAGACCTCTAGAATGCGCGCCGAGTGTGCTACCGTTACACCACGAAGGCATGCAAAAAGTAAGGAGAGAATACCATATATACTGCCCCTTTTACAGAGCGATGGGGGATTAGGGGATCTAGTTGATAAATCCTGGGGGTGAAGAATCATCATCCACCACCTTTTAGTTCGGGCTCCACTGTAGAGATGTTAGATTACTTTGAAGCAGGAGACATGAAAAATGAGCAATGCCCTCTCCGGAACTCGAACCTGGAACTTTTGAATACGTGCCGAGTGTTCTATCGTTACACCACGAAGTTATGCAGAAAGAAGGAAGGAAATACTTTATATATTAATATATAAAATTTTGGTACTTAAACATACATTATGTAGTCGTATATTTAACTTTTAATTATGCTATATATTATTAGTCCCATGCGCTATTGGGAGAAAATGCAATAGAATGTCCAATACCCAATATACAAGCTGAGAAAATCCCATTCATTAAGGAGCAATTAACTTTTGTGTAATTTTCGATGAAATGTAAGATCTTGTAGTACGTCATTACAAAACCTGAGTAGGATAAAAAAGAAAAAATTTCTTGACGCAAAAGAAAATATAAACAAATATAAAAATTTTAAAATATTTATTTCTTTTCAAAAAGTACTATTCAAAAAAAATCTTAAAACAAATCAATTTCTTCACCTACATACAAACTTTGAACATTAGTCAGTACATCATTTACATTAACATCAAAAAGTCATCAGTAACAATTAGGTTACTAAAATTTATATTGCTTTTATTTTGAAGAATAAAGTCCTTTGCTATGTCAGTCCAATTAACTGTAAACAAAGCTTGGTCAAAATAATTTTCACACTTTTGGGCACGGCTTGTTGATAAGCATTCATGTCCTAGCTGATTGTTATAACCTACTTGACAACCAAAACATACAAAAAGTTCTGTAATTTTGTTAGAAATAAATTTTTCAATACACTTACACAAAGAGTCCTGCAATTCATGAAATCCATTTGGACGGTCAGGATCACCAGCATATTCACGTTCAAAATGTATATCAGCAACCAACTGCTTTCTCACGAAATAGTTAAGAGTTTTAGAAATAAGAGTTTCTTTCATGACGGCACATATTTCGCTTCGTCAAGTTTTAAGTAAATGTTCTTTTCTCAACAGAACATGTTCCGGTACGAATTCCAGTCTAAAATCTTTTTTTGAAACAATCTTTATAGTGATATAATTATTTCACCTTTGACATTTTGTTTTGAAACACATACATCTTTCTTTACAATCGAAACACTGTCAGAGTCTTCAAAGAAAGCAAATGTATTTGCATGATCGCAGAATTCTTTCCATACTAGTGGAGACAGCGAAACTCCATCTTTGGTAGGATGTAACAGATCATTCTCATCAGTCACATATTTCCGCACGTGAACACGAGTCAAACCTATGAAACACGATACAGTCACAAAAATATCCCCTCCGAGATGAAACATATTCTTTGGCAAAGAATCAAGCTTCAGCAAAGTTTCATCATTTGAAGCACAGCGAAACATTTTTGATGATAAACATGAATTTGCATGTCGACTCAGCCAGTCGTCCTGACGTATCTCGTCTTCTAAACGTGCTTTCTTGCGTGGAAAAATCTTTTTATTCATACACGGTTTTGGGGTTACGGAATTAATTATACCACCGTAATAATTAAAGTCCATTTCAACACACGAACGCTTCCCTTGCGGAAGTAAAATTTTTCTGAACGTCAGACTAATTCCAGTAAGTCTTCACTTCGGGTTGGGTTGGGATACTGTGTTTCCAGACTGTGTTCGTAGGGGTTTCATCACAAGAAGCGATCCGTGTTCCAGACTCAGAATGTGAGTCATATAATTCTCCCTCATAAAATGCATCTCTCGCGTCGAACCGTAACTCAGTGTGGGAATGCTGCACGAAGGGTCTAGCGCGCTTTCAGCGTCTCTGTGCGCGGAGATCTTGGCTTCTCCGTCAGGGTATTTGTTGAGCAGAACGTAATTATATTTTTCGTGGGTGAGTGCTTCAACTTCATATTTAATTTGCTGCAGCGTAGGAGTCCAGGGCTGGGCGGCGACCGACGTTCCCGAAAAACTGTAAGTGAGTCCATCATCATCCCCGAAGGCGCAGCAAAGTCGAGCTGGAACGTATTGCCGTCCATAAATATTCAGGTTTAAAGGCTGGAATGGATAAGCGCACAATTCCGTAAATATGGAATCTGCTTTTTCTTTGTCGTGAAAATCATTAAAATAGTGCAGTATTAACTGATCGTCAAATTTTTCAATCATAGTGAGTATGGTAAGAGTGACTGCCTCGAAGTACAATCGTCTTGGTTCAAACAGGAAGGGAGAAAGCAGGAGCGAAGCATACAGCACAGACAGAAATGATATGAAAAGCGAAACCACAAGAGCAGGCAATGAGCGAAAACGCAAAAATGAAGCTGTTCGGTGGTGCGTGAGTGGTGTGGTCGGTCAATGACCCCGATCGTAGCGTCTTAAAACGCTCTTTTGAATGATATGAAAGGGTCCAGTGTCTTTCTATATAGGCTTTAGTCAGGATCCACGAGAACCAATCAGAGAGCGCTCTGGGTGAGACTACTGCCTTCTCGCGGTCGTTGCTGAACTAAAATGATTGTTTAGAAATTCTAACATGTATCTGCAATCAGAATGCGGATTTAGTTTGACATCAGAGCAGCGAAGAGTTCTACGTCAATCGATAAGCGCGGACATGAAACCGGATTACAACACAAACAGGATGAAACATGTGGCTGACGTAGCAATAGTAAGACGGTGACAATGCGCGATGACGTCACAAACAGGATGCAGCGCGTCCGTAGTTGGTAACGTACCCACGTACTGTATTCCCTCCCCCCTCTGCGCCTCAGGAGGCTCCGCCCATCGGCTCCCCGCTCCCTGTGGTTCCAAAGTGGTATATTCTATCTACTGACCATGGAGGTAGGAAGTAAGATGGAGTCGCCCTAAACTAGTTTCTCCCGTACCCTGCTCTGAAGCACCGGCGATCCCTACGTGGTGACCAAAATATTGGGTCATTTACCATTGAGTTCTATGGGATTTGACGCGTTCGGATGTAAATATTTTGTAATTACGTCGTAAAATACATATAATGTATATATTTTCTTTTCTACAACACTTCAGAGTCCTTAGTATGTGAAATACTTTATTTATATAATATATTTAGATAACATTTATAATCATTATAATAGATACATTTAAGAATTAGATTTCTTCACAGTACTTTCACGTTGTTTATAAGTGGAATAAATTCTTCATTTCAAATACATTTATAATAATTTAATGAATATTTAAGTATTTTGTCAAAGGCGATACATGATTTTCGCAAGCACATGTATAAATACCGTACATATTCCTATTTATCATTTCCGGCATGAGCAATCTTAATTCTGTGCATTCACTATTTTTTCGTGTAAAGTAATTTACACTAATTAGCATACACCCGAAAGTTTTACATAAAAATATATGAATATAATTTGAATGAAAATTAAAGTATATTTTTAATTACCCACTCAAAGGTCAGTTTTTCTTCAAATTCCTCCACGATGGCATCTCTTCTTAGGCAGATAGCCCTTGCATGCGTTACTCTATTTAATAAAAAACTTAATCTGACTATGTCCTAATTACAATATTTTAACATACATAATTTTATATTATAAAACGTGTAAGCCAAAGTGAGCATTTTTCAGATATATAAATTAAACGATGGGTTTAAAATGAGCAGCAGTAAAACAGCTTCTCCTCTAAAAAATTTTAAAAGGTACATGTTACAATAATATATGGATGTGAAAAAATTTGTTTTATTTAAAACTTTTGACGTTTGGAAACTAAAATAAAAGTAGCGAATACTCTATAAGGGTATCGAAAGACGTATACAATTTTAAATGTACCGTAAGGTATTTTTCATTCTTTAAGCATAAAATTTTTCTTAAAATCTATATTTTTGTAGTGCAACGGCTTATTTTTATAATACAAATTCATAATCAAATCGCTGTTGTTAGTTATCGAAAAAATACCCAAGATGTGATTTTTGCGTAAATGTCACTAACTATACAATTGCTATTATCCATCACACTATGAATGTTTCTTTCATGCGAAAGTGTCCCTTTTTTCGATTTCTATGGAATTGTCGTGTGTCGAAATACTAACAGAATCTTGTCAAGCGAGCTTCTGAATGTAAACAAAGAACGCCCCATCTGGTGACCCAAGTTTCAAAGCAGTGCTTCACTTTTAGCGCGGGTTGGCCCCTCCTCCCTTTCCTACCTCCATGCTACTGACATCATTTTACCTCTTTTGAAACTGTGCGGCATTCAAGTATAATCAGTTTTCGCTGAGATAGGAGGAGCTTGTGTCTCGTCGGTTCTATGCGAAGAAGGACTAGCCGGCTTTCACTCGTTCCTTTTTTTAGGTATGCTGTTACTCGTTCCTTTAGTTGCTTTAGGTATGCTGTTAACTGCTTGGGTTAGGTAGCAAGATATTCTACTTTTCTCTTGACTTTATAAGCAAAATTAATTTAACTTTTAGGGTTACATTTTAGTTCGTCCTCATGGAAGCTTTCTTATGGTACATGATGTACTGCTGCAGTGATTCCAAGAAACTACGAAATACGAAAACTATAAACTACGAAATACTATACTATAAACTACGAAAAGGGAAACTAATAAAAAACTAATCTTACACAAGAAATCATTACAGAGCATACGCAAGAGATCTCTGGTGTCGTTTTATGACAACACGCTCGGTAGCTATCTGTCAACTCCATGGTCTCGATCGTTTGTCTATCACCTCTTCAGTAGCTGAATGGTTAAGACCGCTCAATACTGGCAGTTCGCCTTGTTTACGGTTCGAGAGCACACCAAAGGGCTGGCTGCATGGTTGGTATTTGTGATTTTTCCCCACCTATAGCATAAATAGAGAAAGTTTACATCGGCAGATGCTTTCGTTTGCAAGCAATTCATTGCAAATAATACATTCAGGTGCCCATCAGTGGCTGAACGGTTAAGTGGCTGAACACAAGTAGTTCGGTTCGGGGATCGAATCCCGACGAACGCTCTAGCTGCATGGGTGTTTCCGTGCTTTTTTCCATGTGTAACGTGTATACGAGACAGTTTCCCTAAGAAAGTCTTCCACGATAGCAACCCTCCCCTTAGTCCAGTGTTTCTTAACCTTTCTAGCGAGTCGCACCCCATTGAAAAATGTGTTTTAATTTTTTTAGTCTAGAAAAACACATTTTTTGCGAAACTTATTGCTTATTGAAAAACATTGTACACTTTATATAAATGCAAAACAATATTATTTTTATTAATGATTAGTTTGTTGTTGTTTGTTCATTATTATACTGGCGAAGCGAAGTTCCTTTTTTGAAAGACATATGCGTAAGTCATCACTTGCATTTAAACGATTTCTCGCTTTTTTTTTGTATGCAAAGCGTGCATTTCGCACCAGTAGTGGTAGCAAAGGGTAAGAGTAACTGCAGTACTCTGTTCGCCAACTCTGGATAACGTTGTTAACTGTGAACACCGAATTGTTGCAATTCTAATTTCGATTCCATTTGAACATGTCCACTTGCTCGCTTTCAATGATTGATCTTTTTTCAGATCACTATCATCCATCAAATTTAAGTCAAATAGAAATGGATCCAGTATCCATCTCTGAGATTGGTAATATTTCCGGTAGAAAAATATCCTTGAGGATTCGCCTCATCGTCTCAATGTATTACAATGTCGGGTTATATTGTATTCTTTTCATTTTTCGCAATAAACAGATCAAGCAAGGAAAGTTTTGCAAAATTCCCCTTTTCTACTCGACGTATCCAAATTTCTAATTTTGCGATAAATGAAGATAATTTTTCACTCGATATATATATTTATACCAAATCCTTGCATTGATAGATTCAATTCATTTAAATGGTAAATATGTCTGCTAAGTAAGCCAGCCTCAGCATGCATCATTACTATCAAATCTTTTACTAAGTAACAGTTTGATAGTCAGTAATTGAATTTTTCCTCACGCAATTAATTCAAAAACTGTTAAGCGTACGACCTTAGATAACCATCGTATTTCGGTGTGATATAGGAGCAAGGTATGATCAGCACCGATTTCTTTGCAAAATTCACGAAAAATGCGATGATTAAGCGCTCGCCCGGATGTATTTTACTACATTTACTGCTGTAGTTAGATGTTGTTTTAAACTTTGTGGCAATGTTTTCCACGCAAGTGCATGACGATGTAACATGCAATGCGTTATTATAACTTCCGATAATTCTCTTTTAATTTGTGAAAAGAATCCTGAATTTTTGCCTAACATTGCTGGGGCTCCATCAATGAATATTAAGCCAATCACATTGATTGGTAATTAATATTTAGTAAAAAAACTGTGATGCGATTGAAAACATCAATTACTCTCGTATTCACTTCCAGTGGCTCACAAAATAGAAATTCTTCTATCACCTCTTTTTCCTTCACATGCCTGACACATACCAAAAAGTTGGGCTACAATTATCAACCATCCAGTGACTCATCCGTTGCATGCTTATTTTAGTGGACTGATTTTTATGTCTTCAATTACTTGCATTAAAATATCTTCACTGAGATCTTGTATTCGCGATCATCATTCGATATGGAATCTGTGGATTTTTTTATGTGCTTTCGAATCTAAAACTGTTTTAGTAATATTAAAGCAGAAGGTTTAATAAATTTCAGCGCTCGTGTGAAGTTTCTTTTTTTTCTTTTTTTTTTTTTTTTTCAGCTAAATATCCACTTGATATGACGCTTCTAATAAAGGTTTGAATTGCTGGTCCGCACATTTTAGGATAGTTCCACTGGTATCAAACCGAGCCTTCTTGACTTCAGCTGTTCATGCTATGCGCTTTTTCGCCACATGCAGATGTTGAATGTTCTAATAATTTGATGGTTTGAGATTGCTGTTTGAAATATCTTGGAACACAAGATGCATTGCGGTCGTTGCGTGCCATCTTTTTCGGTTGTGCAGGAATCATAACCGGCATACTTATCGTTCCCTTGTCGTTTTTTTGACATAATGGGGTTTCACTATAATCGATTAATTATTTAGAAATAATGTAATATAATATATATAATGTTCTTACGTTTGTATATCACTGATTCCTATTCGGCTGAACGAGCAATTAAGAATGTATTAGTCTCAAGAGGTTCCTGGACAAGTCAGAATACACAACATGCATGTCGTAGACACAATAGTTGACTCGACTCAACCTAACACAGGCGCAGCAGATGCA